TTACAACCGTGGTGATCACAGGCACAAAATTTACAGCATTGTCATCTCCACCCACAAGTTACACTCTTTCACAGGGTTTTCACTTGATTTTCCCACATGCTTTCACACGCTTTCTTTACTCAACTCAGTGAAGAGAGCTGACACTCATTATCATTGTCAGAGCAGAACTGGACCAGTAGATGGTATTGCAAAGCAGTAATATCTCCTTTATCAGCTTATGAGCTTCATTCAAATACAATAGTAAATCATAAGTAAGCATAAAAAATCCTAAAAACATTGGCAGAGATTACACACAATAGGCAGCTTCTACTTGCCGTCATACTTATGGGCAGTATACTGTATAATGGAACAAGTCTAGAGAAAAGTGCAATATGTGCTGGTGGTTGCTCAGAGAACGCAGTATGTAACATCAAAGAAAAATTTGCTGGCTTACAAATTACTTTAAGCGAATGCCTGTATACCAACTTACTGTGGTTCTGCACATACTATGGCTTTAACCACTTCCCGACCGGCCGTTGTATATAAACGGTCGGACGGTGGCACTGCAGGGTCGGGTGGCCATTAATAAACGGCCTCCCCACACCCTGCTTGTGCACGCTCCCCGGGAGTGCGCAGCACCGCGATCCGGTGCCCGCTGTGTCCTCTGGACACAGTGAAACACCGATCATCGGACAGGACCTCTGTACGAGGTCCCAATCATGTGATCACTGATTGGCCAATCAGTGATCACATGCAAAGTAGTAAGCAAGATGTCACTTGTGACATCATTGCTTACTACGTGTGAAATCTGTGAATGATCGCAGAGTTCACATGGTACAAGGCTTGTCACAACAGCCTTGTACCATGTGACAAGCTGTGACCAATCACAGCTCACTCAGTAGTTCTCAATGGCTGCAAGAATGCAGACAGAGAGAAAGAGAAATGATTTCTTCTTTTACATCCTATATGGGTGTAAAAGCAATCAGTGTAAAAAAAAAAAAAATCTTCATCACCCCCCAAAAGTAGTACAATACTGCTAGGGCGACAGTATGTAAAAAAAATAAAAATAAAAAAATAAATGTAAAAAAAAATGTTTAAAAATTATAATTTTTGGTTATAAACTAATTTGGCTTATTTTTTTTTTTTTTTTTTTTACTAAAAAAGATAACGGAATACATTTTGGCCAAGATTTATGATGAAATATTATTTATTTGCAAAATTTAATAAGAAAAACACTGTTTTTCAAAATTTTTGGACATTTTCATTTACGTAGCAAAAAAAATAAAAATCCCAGCGGTGAATAAATACCACCAAAATAAAGTTTTATCTGTCTGAAAAAATGGTAAAAAATTCATATGGGTACAGTGTTGCATGACAGCGCAATTGTCATTCAAAGTGTGATAGCACTGAAAGCTGAAAACTTCCCTGGTCAGGAAGGGGGTGAAAGTGTCCGGACTGGAAGTGGTTAAAGTAGCACAATACTATAGCATTAACTTTTTTTTGCTTTCAGCCACCTAATCTTTTTTGCTGCTTTGTTTCAATATCCTGTTAGAGGGGGGCTATGTGCCCTCTCCATGGTCCCAATATATGTAGGAACACAGCCATCCTCTCTTGCTCATTCTGAACATGGTTTATGGACTATGGGATTTATAGTGTGCGCAGAGAATTGCACATGACCACAACAAATGTGCACTCTCCTTCCAAACAAACAAAAGTGAGGGGAAAAAGGAGAGCCTTGGGAGCTCAGGAAGGGCTTTGCAAGTAGGAAGAAAAACACAGTAAAAACCAATTTCATGAAAAATAGATTACAGAGTCATTAGGTAGTGGATGTGTATGGATTATTTTTGGAGAATAAGGATATCGTTTAGTGTCACTTTAATATGTAATTATGGGCAAAGTTGTCATTCTAACAGGTTATTTCTCACACACAGCATAGGCATACTTAGAATTACACCCCAAAACACATTCTGCTTTGTATAGGGATTTCACATGTGGGAGACTTTTTCACAGCCTAGCCACATAGAGATAGCCGAGTTTGACAGGTGCCCACTCCCACTTCTGCTGCGATCATCTAGGCGATCGGAAGCGGAAGTTGTCCTCCTACCCTCCTGTGACATGTGACAGTTCCCAGAAGACTACGGGCCATTCCCAAACGCAGCACTTCTCGCACATGCGCAGCGGGCATCCGGCTGTGAAGCCGCAAGCTGTCACAGCCGGGTGCCCACACTAAAGATGCCGGCATCAGGGAGAGAAGATGGCCGGTGAAAACAACGGTGGTGAGGACACCGCTGGACCGAGGGACAGGTAAGTGTCTGTATTTTAAAAGTCAGCAGCTACAGTTTTTGCAGCTGCTGACTTTTTCTTTCAGCTGGAACTCCGCTTTAAGTATCTAATTTCCTGACTACTTATGACATTTTTGGAGACCCTGGAACACCAGAACAATGGAAAAAAGTAACAGATATGATGCACTCAACAGCTTTGAGTTCCTCTTGAAACATACAAAAATCAAAAAGGTAAGAGCCACACTCCAATGTTAGCTCCTCTTGCTGTATTTATTGAACAATCAACTATTAAGCTGCATACAAACTATCTCCAACCAAAACTGAGCTGCCTTGGTGTGTCTCACCATTCTCACCTTGCTCACAAAATCTTGTATTTTACCGAAACGATCTGAATTAAGCATAGCTCCCAACTGTCCCTGATTTGAAAGGACTATTCCTCTTTTGGAACAAAACACTTTATATGGGTGTACCTTTCTGTACACATGGGTAGAGCTGTCTTTGCCCCTGTGGAATGTACTTGTGTTTTGCAGTTTGACAGCCATGTGGGTACGTTTCTCTGGAAACAAACAGTGTTAATTCAGGGCCACACAACCACACTCGAACAGCTGCCAAATTGGGACCAGCATTTTTATCTATGCAGCCCCTGTGTCTCAGCAGACATTATTGGAGCTGCTTGTACGTGGATGCATGGAACACCTGAGCATTCTGTGTGAGCGAAGATGGTCATTCACATGTATAGGTGTGAGTTTGAACCTTAAAAACAAGAACCTGCTGCAATAATCTCAATATTTAACTGCTTCCCAATTGCGCTATAGCCGAAAGACGGCTACAGCGCGGTTGTCCAGTTGTGGGAGGGATTCCATGGACATCCTCCCAAAATGTGTCCCTAGCGGCAGGCACCAGGCGCTGTTGGTGACCACTGTGTCCTATGGACACAGCTGATCATGTGATGAGGTAAAAGGCCAATCACAGCGGCCTTTTACCACGTGATCAGCTGTGTCCAATGACACAGCAGATCATTGGGAAAATACAGTTGCCGGTTATCGGCTGCACTTTTCTCACACTGTCACAGTGACGGGAGAACTGCACTGATAACCAGGGCACTGATTATCAGTGCCGCCCAGCAGTGCCCAACAATGCCACCCAGCAGTGCCACCCAGTAGTGTCACCCAGCAGTGCCACACATCAGTGCCCAGCAGAGTCACCCAGCAGTGCCACCCGTCAGTGCCCAGCAGTGTCGCCCGTCAGTTGCCAGCAGTGCAACCTGTCAGTGCCGCCAGTCAGTGCTGCCCATCAGTACCTCCTATCAGTGCCCATCAGTACCGCCTATCAGTGCCCATCGTTGCTGCATATCAATGCATCATGAGTGCTCCTCATCAATGCCCACCAGTGCCGCCTCATCAGCACCACCTCATCAGTGCACATCAGTGCTACCTATCAGGGCCCATCAGTGCTGCCTATCAGTGCCCATCAGTGCCGCGTATCAGTGCAGCCTCATCAACGCACATCAGTGAATTAGGAAAATTACCTGTTTGCAAACTTTTATAATAGAAACAAGGAAAACCTTTTTTTTCACATTTTTTGCTATTTTTTTTGTTTATAGTGCAAAAAATAAAAACCCCAATGGCGATTAAATACCACCAAAAGAAAGCTCTATTTGATTGAAAAAAAAATGATAAAAATTTCATATGGGTACAATGCTGCATGACTGCGCAATTGTCATTCAAAGTGCAACAGCGCTAAAAGCTGAAAATTGGCCTGGGCAAGAAGGGGGTGAAAGTGCCCGGTAGGCAAATGGTTAAATTGGTAGCTGCTGCCTAAAGTGCAAAAAAAGAGCTATATAATGTAAAAACATTTACTAAAAATGCATGAATAAAAGTCTTGCACATGAACAGGTGTCATATACCACCTATATTAAACACCAGGAAACGCTGGGTCCACAATAGCTGCTGAGCATTCAAACCGGCAAAAGTGATGACGAAAGTCCTACCCTACAAATTTCATCATAGAGTTGCTCCATGCTTTTTTATTAAAGTTTTTACACTATGGGGCTCTCCTTCCTTTCTTTTATGGCAATGTCTGATGAACTTCTTTCCTCAGCTATATGAAGGGGTATTCCAGAAGAACGCAGTGAGTTGGATGGTGTCTTATAAGGGGGCTGAGTTTATACAATTTTGGGACCACTTTGAGCACTTCTTGACATGCTTGGTAAAACAAGGGGTCAGTATAATCCGGTGAGTATTGTGGTGCACTATGGGCATTTTGGAGGAATTCCATCATAGAGCACTTTATTTGAAGCACTTTCACCACCTGAGTGGATATTGATTGGAGTCACACCGAGAACCTTATCACCATTTTGGATTTTGTTCTTGTGTGGACACATGTTGCACTGTTTTATTGCATTATAAATTATTTATACACTGTATGTATATATATATATATATATCATATTTTTCGCTCCATAAGACCCACTTTTTTCCCCCCAAAAAAGGGGGGGAAATACCAGTGCATCTTATGGAGTGAATATGGAGCGGCCGGGCTGGTATTTCCGCCGCCGACACCATGTCAGAATACCAGGCCGGCCGCTCAGCTCTTCTCTGCAGCAGGACCTTACCTGTTCCTCGGTCCAGCACTGTACAGTCTTCCTGCGCCGTCATCTTTAGTGTGGGAACCCGGCTGTGACAGCTGGGTGCCCACTGCTCATGCGCGAGAAGCGCTGCGCTTTGTGAATGGACCGGTGTCTTCAGGGACCTGTCATGTGTCCCAGAAGACACCGGGCCATTCACAAAGCGCAGCGTTTCTTGTGCATGCGCAGTGGGCAGCCGACTGTCACAGCCGGTGTAGTGGTAAGGTCTGTCTCCCATGAAGATTGAAGCAACTGCGCATGTCCCTGATTCAGGCACGATCAATCGATTACAGAACTACTCCATCCGACCATGTATCTTTGTTGAAGTATGCGGGAGCAGCGGCAGCGGCTATTGATCCGCGGGATCAGCTTCAGCTGTGTCTGTAAGTGTAATCAGCAGTGCAGTCTCTGGTCATCCCCTGTACTGTCTGCAGTCTCTGGGTCATCCCCTGTACCCTCTGCAGTCTCTGGGTCATCCCCTGTACCCTCTGCAGTCTCTGGGTCATCCCCTGTACCCTCTGCAGTCTCTGGGTCATCCCCTGTACCGTCTGCAGTCTCTGGGTCATCCCCTGTACCGTCTGCAGTCTCTGGGTCATCCCCTGTACCGTCTGCAGTCTCTGGGTCATCCCCTGTACCGTCTGCAGTCTCTGGGTCATCCCCTGTACCGTCTGCAGTCTCTGGGTCATCCCCTGTACCGTCTGCAGTCTCTGGGTCATCCCCTGTACCGTCTGCAGTCTCTGGGTCATCCCTGTACCGTCCGCAGTCTCTGGGTCATCCCCTGTACCGTCCGCAGTCTCTGGGTCATCCCCTGTACCGTCCGCAGTCTCTGGGTCATCCCCTGTACCGTCCGCAGTCTCTGGGTCATCCCCTGTACCGTCCGCAGTCTCTGGGTCATCCCCTGTACCGTCCGCAGTCTCTGGGTCATCCCCTGTACCGTCCGCAGTCTCTGGGTCATCCCCTGTACCGTCCGCAGTCTCTGGGTCATCCCCTGTACCGTCCGCAGTCTCTTGGTCATCCCCTGTACCGTCCGCAGTCTCTTGGTCATCCCCTGTACCGTCCGCAGTCTCTTGGTCATCCCCTGTACCGTCCGCAGTCTCTTGGTCATCCCCTGTACCGTCGGCAGTCCCTGGTCATCTCCTGTACCGTCTGCAGTCTCTGGTCATCTGTACTGTCGGTAGTCTCTGGTCATCTCCTGTAATGTGTCCGCAGTCTCTGGTCATCTCCTGTACTGTGTCCGCAGTCTCTTTGGTCATCCCCTGTACCGTCCGCAGTCTCTTGGTCATCCCCTGTACCGTCGGCAGTCCCTGGTCATCTCCTGTACTGTCTGCAGTCTCTGGTCATCTGTACTGTCGGTAGTCTCTGGTCATCTCCTGTAATGTGTCCGCAGTCTCTGGTCATCTCCTGTACTGTGTCCGCAGTCTCTGGTCATCTCCTGTACTGTGTCCGCAGTCTCTGGTCATCCCCTGTACTGTCTGCAGTCTCTGGTCATCCCCTGTACTGTTGGCAGTCTCTGGTCATCCCCTGTACTGTCTGCAGTCTCTAGTCATCCCCTGTACTGTCTGCAGTCTCTGGTCATCTCCTGTACTATGTTCGTAGTCTCTGGTCATCCCCTGTACTATGTCCGCAGTCTCTGGTCATCTCCTGTACTGTGCCCGCAGTCTCTGGTCATCCCCTGTACTGTGTCCGCAGTCTCTGGTCATGTCCTGTACTGTGTCCGGAGTCTCTGGTCATCTCCTGTACTGTGTCCGCAGTCTCTGGTCATCTCCTGTACTGTGTCCGCAGTCTCTGGTCATCTCCTGTACTGTGTCTGCAGTCTCTGGTCATCTCCTGTACTGTGTCCGCAGTCTCTGTTGATCTCCTGTACTATGTCCGCAGTCTCTGTTCATCTCCTGTACTATGTCTGCAGTCCATTGGTTCAGAATATTTTTTTTCTTTTTCTCCTCTAAAACACAGATGCATCTTATGGTCAGGTGCATCTTATGGAGCGAAAAATAAAGATATATATATATATATATATATATAGTTTACATTGGTAGGATTGGTTCAGAACATAGGCAGCACGACACAGACAGCCTTTGCTGGGAAATCGTCAAAGAGCCAACAGCCATTCATAGGCGACGGAGGCATTCCTCACCCCAGGGGTGTGATTACATGTGGATGTGGGGAGGGGAAGGCTTCCACCACCCATGATTGGCTGTTGGCTTTGATGCTTCCTGGCAAGATAGCTCAAATGGGTTTGGAATCGTGTCCGAACATGCTCGTCACTGGTTCAGAGTTATGCTTTAATCAACGGTGTCAGGTTAGGAGTTGGAGGGTGTATTTGTTGCAGTTGTTTGCATTTGCAATGATGAAATAAATTTTCCTACTTTTTGAAGAATCCTGTACTGTGTAAATTTTAATTTAGTCAGCATTTCCCATTATCAGAATACATTGATCAGCACCGTCGGCTATAGGTTGCAGAGCTGATCTAGTGAGGAAAACCTGACAGGGTGGTTGTACAGAAGTTGCTTTTAAACTACCCAAATTTTGATCCATGTATGGCCAGCTATACATACCATTTACTTTTTACTATGGAGTCACTATTTCACTAGTTGGACCAGTGTTCAATGCCAGCAAGGGGAAGACTCCATTAGGCCTTGTTCACACAGGCTTCAGCTTATAAAAGAGCAGTGACAATGAACAGTCAGGTTAAATGGCCTCATGGAGTGGCTACCAACAAGAATCACTAGATACTCGCCTACAGTTCAATGCTGCCTGCGCACACTGTGTGTGTACAAATCAATGGTTGGCATCACCACTGTTCACATGTAACCGCTCATCTGAGTCATAAATGGGAATGATCAGAATCTGTGGGGCAGTCTTGACCCTGTCCTGCAGTGTCTATGTCCTGCAGGACCCAGGAAACCTAGAGCTTGTAGAGTGACAGCTCTTTGCCCTTCAGCACCCAGAGTATAGGCCGGTGCAGCCCGTTATCTCCACTGCGTGTGGCATTCAACCAAGTGGTACCATAGCCTGGAGAGGAAGTCGAGGGAAACCTGGCTTCTTTATGATTTCCTGGGTCATGGAGCAGCATTCCTGGTTGGCTACACTGCATCCATGTGACCCCTGATGGTCATCTTGGGTCTGCTGGGTCTTTATAAGTCCCTGCCCCGGGTATTAGTGTGTATTTTGCAAAATGTGTAGAGTAGAGAGAGATATGCCTTCTGACAGGGACAGTGACTAGCAGCAGGGCAAGATTCCTGACAAGTAGGGACAGGCTAGGGATTTGCTATCTTCAAGATAGCCTCCCCTTTGGGACCAGACCAGCCAGGCCGTTCTCCACCCTCTGTAACAGACACTGTCGGAGCAACTCTTCTCGCTGCATCTCGGCATTTGAACTGAACTATGAGTGTTTCCCCTATGCGGTGGTTTCCTGCAGGGGTGTTTGTAGATTGAGATCCTCTTCAATGCAAGTTCCAAGTTTTACTACAACTGGACTATGTGTCTTTACAGCCGCAGCACTACGCAGCACCATGCTGCACCTCCCCACAAGTGCTGAAATACTGGTACTGTCAGGAGTTCACTCAACACTACAACTATTGTGCTGGTCTGACATCGTCCTGACATCGTCGATAGAGCGCCTGGTCAGGGACCTGACCACCAGTCGAATGAGTCAGAAATCACTGCTACTGGCCTGCAATGGTAGGAGTTACTGACACCAATTCTGGGGTTAAGGATTAGAGATGTGAACAATGAAGACATTTGTTTGGTTTCATATTCATTTGTTAAGTAAATCAGTTTGTTTAGTCATATTCATTATCTTAGAATGATTTGTTTTCGGCGTTAGTTAAATATATTCGTTGTTCCGAATTGATTCCTATTTTCAGAAGTTATTTTGGAAGACTGGCTATATTTGTTTTAAACGTGTTAATTTGTTATTTCGGGAGACTACTTATACACTCTGAGTCATCCCTGCTTGTTCAACCCACAAAGAAAAATGGAATGAGCTAATTGGACGATACTGACTGGAGTCTCGTGCAGCTGAAAGTAATAAATGGAATGAAATTAATTTCAGATTCATTCATTATGTTACGATTCAGAGATTCTGATGGATTCACCTTTATCCAACCCAAAAACAATAAGTAGGAATCATCATCTTTTTTCACTTTTATACCTTACTGTATTTATTCCAGTGTGTTTCCATTTCATATATAGTGCAGTGTTTATAATAATGAAAAATGTTAATACAAAAAGAATTGGCTGATAATCCAAGAATCAGATTACTGCACTGCCCTCTTCCAAATAAAACAAAAACAATCCAAATCAATTTGGATCATTTGCTTTGTCGTTACGCTTTGCTTCAAATATAACATTATGCTTCCAAAGGCCCAAACGTTTGCATCATGTCATGCGAATTAACCTCTTACCGACTGCACTATAGTCAGGAGATGGCTAGAACGATGTCGTCCAGTTCTGGGAGGGCATCTATAGACGTCCTCCCAGAACCATGCCCCCCATCCCATGCCCCCCTGGGGAATGCATTTAGCGCATTCTGTGATTGTTGTGTCCTTCAGATAATCACAGTGGCCCTTCACCATGTGATCAGCTGTGTCCAATCACAGCTGATCACATTGTAAACAGACTTGCTGGTTATCAGCAGATCTTCTGTCACACGCTGCAACAGCGCAAGCACAAACCAGTAACCGGCAATTCTGACAGAACATTTACACTGATAATCAGGGCTCTGATCATTAGTGCCCTGACTATCAGTGCAGCTCCATCAGTGCTGCCTATCAGTGCCAATCAGTGCTGCCTATTAGTGACTCCTCATCAGTGCCACCTATCAGTGCTCGTCAGTGCCTTCTATCAGTGCTCATCAGTGCTGCCTATCAGTGCCGCCTATCAGTGCAGCCTATAAGTGCCCACCCATGCAGTCTATTAGTGCCCATCAGTGCAGGCTCATTAGCGCACATCAGTGACGGAGAAAAATTACCTATTTGCAAAATTTTATATCAGAAACTAAGAAAAACATTTTTTTTTCCAAACTTTTTCTTTTTTTATTTGTTTAGCAAAACATAAAAACTCAGTGGTGATTAAATACCACCATAAGAATGCTCTATCTGTCTCAAAAAATTATAAAAATGTCATATGGGTACAGTGTTGCATGACTGCACAACTGTCAAAGCGTGAGAGCGCTGAAAGCTGAAAATTGGCGTGGGTACGAAGGGGGTAAAAGAAAAGTGCCCGGAATTGAAGTGGTTAAACAAATGAATCAATTGTTTCATTATAAATTATTTTGGATTCGTTAAAATTCATTACTATTGTGATTCGTAGATTTGAATACATCTAAATCTCCCAATAACTAAACTTTTGTCTGAATTTCGATTCGTAACGAATCGAATTGCACGTCTATTAAGTATTGCTCACAATGTCAGCCACCATGGGGCTTTTTATAACTCCATTTTTCTCTTCGGTGTACCTCCAGGCCCTGACATTTGGCAAGTACAGCGGAGGAGATATGTCACCTCTTGGACAACTGTTTTAAACCTGGAAGGCTTGTAGCATACTGCGACTATGTGCATTACACGTGGTTGCGGCATGGACGCAATGGGTTGCTTTTGGTACTGGTACCTCCTGTTGTGCCACTGGTGTACTAGTGTGGCTATGTCAGGGGGCAGAAAAACCCCGACTCAGCTGCCTGTTTTTATTGCCCCATAGCTGCCTCTGAACATGAGGCCTAAGGCCCAGTTCACATCTATGTGGCTCTGCATGCCGTGTGTGCGGGATACAGCAGCTCATTCATTGGAATGAGCTGCTGTGCTTGCGTCTCCTGCAGGGAAAAGTTCCCTGCACCCTTTGCATCATAGGTTTCCACATGCAGAAAACCACACAGTGTTGTTCAGTGCATGGTGGTGCCATTAA